TGCATTTTTTTTTATCGATAAGCTTTTTTTCTATATCGCCCAGCCCTAGTACAGCATTAAAAAAACAGCAATGAAACTCCATGTTTTTTATGGCGGAGCTACAAAGATCTGTTGAACAAGCACATAAACAGGACATATATTTTGTAATGCAATTTACAAATCTGAAGTCAGTCATTAGTTACATCGACCATAATGAAAAAAAGCATTCCAGTTAGATTAGAATAAAATGTTGTACATAAAATATACAAATATATAATGGGAATAATGGGTACTAGATTGAATTGAATGCAGGAAAATAATATGGAAAGACCTGTCAGAGGCTACGAAACCCTGGAGACTTAATTCAGCATGAAGACCATATTAAACATACTGCTAGCGCTACAATGCATTAACGTAAATCAAGCATATTATTATTTTTTATCACTTAAAAGAGAGCCTGTGAATGTGCAAAACTGTAAGAGGCATATCGAGAAACAAATTCAATTCAAAAGCACCTTACTAATTCCAAAGGGAAATTAAGCGTTGCAGAAACTCATGAGTTATTTTTTAAATAGGCGTTGATAGCTGTGGGCAGGAAGGATCTTCTGTATCAGTCTGTCTTGCATCGGATCTGGAGAAGCGTCTTACCGAAGACGCTCTATTCTTGTTTAAAAATCTTCTGAAGATGGAGCTCACTGTTGTCCATAATGCTCACACTCTCCACCACATACTTATATATAAAACTGTAACTGGAGTGTGTAACAAAAGTAATTTCCCTCTGGAATTATTAAAGTATTTCTGATTCTGATTCTCATTATAGAAGATATGCAGAATAATACAGTCGATTTTGCAGGAAAGTTGATCTTATAGAGTGTTGATTCACTGGAGCTGAATAAAAACTCTTCAGACTGTTCTTTGTAAAAAGCATTGCAAACCAAGAAGTCTTGGCATAAGGCCTCTGGACTGGCCTACCTCATCTGTAGCAGGGGTAGTGGGGCTGCAGCTCCCCCACTTTCTGTTGAAACTGTAATAAACCTGAGATAACAGCTAATCTGGAAGACTTAAATGATTTACACTGAACTAATTTTGATATTCCAGTGTGTTTTTATTTATGTGTTTTCTGCAGATACGGTTTTACAAAAGAAGTCTTGGTAAAATACAGAGTGAGTATCGACAAAATCCTAACCAATGGCAACATGGTGTAACATTGGATTCCATCATAGATGATTCTACATCTTGAATTTAACTTTTAGGTCCATGGCAGGAAGATTTTAAAGCTGCTCCAAAAGATCTTCAGCTGGCTTCCTCTGGCTACATTGATCAACGATAAGGTCCTTGTTGTACATGGGGGGATCTCTGACTCAACTGACCTTGAGGCGGTCACCAGAATCGACAGACACAGAGTAAGAGAAGCTTTTGGCTTTAGTCAGGTGTGTGGGTTTTGTACAATGCAAATCCACAAAATAAGCTGTTCAATGGGTTATTTTGCAGTATGTGTCAGTCCTTCGACCTCCTAAGATGATCCGCCACATGCTCAATGGCAATAAGGCAGTAATCAGCGGGAACGAAGATGCAACGGGACCAGCAGAAGGCCGTCGCCGGGTACGCTCCCTAACCAACACCTCTAACTCAGCTCAGAGGAACAAAATGCCACGTCGTTCTCTCCACAACCTGCCTACTACTGGAAACCAGCTCAACTGCTCTGTGGAAGACGAACTGAGGAAGAGACGCAGGCTGGCCGGGTTTGACCAGACTTACAACGAAATAAAGACGTCAGATTCTGACTCAGACCCAGAGTTTGGAGAATCCACAGAGACACACGGTCAGGAGTGGAAACAAGTAGGTGATGATAGATATTATTAAAACATTCCTCTTGCATCAAGTATGCGATGAACTGATCTTCATACTTCTAGAACACGGATTCTGGGGTTTAATGGTCATAATAAACTGTTTCAAAGGTTTTCTAGCTTGCCTCACAAAGAAACCGACGACTCTGCATTTGAGATGACAGTGAAAACACTATAGAAACTTTTTAAGCAAAACTAAAAAAAAAAAAACATAATGTGATTCCATTTATTCAAAACAGAAAATATGTATACATTTACCAGAGCTTGTTGTGAGGAAATTTCTCCTGTTTTTCCTATGTGTCCCATTCATGGATGAAATTTTGATTTCAGAAGTGGGTGGACGCAAGTATCCATCCAATCACAGATCCGATTCAGTGGCGCATCAGATGTTTGCAAAGTGAGCTTCTTAGGAAATACAGTGGTGACAGTCAATGACACAGGAAAAACATTGGGCCAATCAGGAGCTTGTGGACCATCTAAACTCAGGGAAGTGGGCTTCAGCGTGAGCTGCGGTTTGCTTTTGGCAGAAAAAAGTTCAGGGGACCATGGTCCTATTAAAGAGAGATATTAGGGTCCTAACAAGAGCCTAAGCTGGTGTATTAGTCTCTCTATCTGGTCAAACAGCCGCCCTCCAGCTACTCAACACTCCAACTGTATCTACAAAACAGTATCATCCAAATTCCATTTGATGGGTCAAGCTCATAGTATGTGATCAGAAAATTTTTCAAACTTCTATTTCTTGTAATTAAATGAAATGTAGGTCTTATTCCAGTGTGCTGACTGCCAATTATGGATGAGGATCGACTAGTTTAATACACCGATTTTACATAGCAGTGCCGCTGTGCTGTAAAACACAATCTGCTAATTCGATCTGCAGGGCGGGCTTACATAAAATGTAGAACTGCTAATAGTAGATAAAAACTTCTGTCTCTGCGGTTTTATTGGAAGGAAATAGAACCAAGGGAAACTGAACCATAAAATGTGTTCCGTTTCTGCTTTCCTTGTCCAGGTTAAAACATTTGCTCTTGTGGCATTTATTGTTGATCATATAAAAAAGTGGAAAGAACAATGCTTTGCTATAAACCCTAATTGATGACTTACAAATCCTGCAGGTATTAAAAACGGATCGAATTAGCAGATTGTGTTTTACAGCACAGCGGCACTGCTATGTAAAATCGGTGTATTAAACTAGTCGATCCACATCCATAATTAGAGAAAACTTTTCATATTTCAAATCTTTTCTCCTGAAAACAACACTGGCTAATTACAGCAAAGGCAGCTGCAGTCAAAAAGACTTAAAATAACTAAAATGCATCATATTTGTTGACTTTGTGTTTTTTTTTACTGGTGGTCTGTAAGTCGGACTCTCTCTTATGATCTGATATATTTTACGTGAACCATTTGTCTCAAAATAGTTTCTGAGCCTGATGTTTACATGTTTTGGTTTCTGGGATTTTTGAAACCATAAAAAACAAGAAAAGTAAAACAAGCTAAATGCATCATACCATTGAATTTGCAGGACACGCTCTTCCTGAATGATCATGTACAGACTGTTGAAATTCTGCTGAAAATTCACTTTCCTTCCTTCTAAAAACGCTGAAGAAACATTTCTATGTATGATGTAATGTCATACATAGTGCTTCATCTGGGAGTGAAATGTAGTTAACCCCCCCCCCCCCCCAAAAAATCTAATTTTTGTTAGTCGTTAAACAAAAGATAATTTTTCCTAAAACAACATATATTGTAACAAACACTAGAACTGGCAGATTCTAAATCTATCAAAAGGATTCCCAAACTGTGGGCCCTCCCTCTTCTTGCTTACAATTAAGAGGTAGTTATCGGGTTATAAGTCTCTTAAGCTTGAATGCTGATTTTGACACACTTTTTACATGCAATTTATTTTTGATGTCCAAATAAATCAGTTTTGAGCTTAAGACCCGGCACTCTGGGTCCCCGAGCAAGACCCTTAACCCCTGACTGCTCCCCAGGCTCCACACAGTGGCAGCCCACTGCTCCTCGAGGGGATGGTTTAATATGCAGAAGTGAATTGTATTATTGCTATTTATTTATTTGTTTTGTCTATTAGGAATGTTGGTCTTTGACTACAGTTGGCAATTATTGAAAAGTTTTTTTTTCTGTATGCAGGAATGCCTGATTTCAAATTATTTGCCTCCTTAACCTACAACAATCTCCTTTCTAAGGACCTTCCAGCTCCACTTTGGTGTAATCTCACTTTAACAAACAGGAGCAAACAAAAGGATTTGTTCTGAGGTTTAAACAAGGCAAACCCATGATTGTATGCCTGTGTCATTATTGCAATTTGAAACTCTTTTAATAACCATGGCAGCGACATTTTTTTCTTACATTGGACAGTAAACGTCTTATATTATGTTTTTATTTGTGCATTTTATTATCGTTATAACTTATCACAAGTAATGAATGTACTCAGATAGTGGATCTTCTGTGGAGCGACCCACAGCCACAAAATGGCTGCATTCCCAACGAGGTGCGAGGTGGAGGCTGCTACTGGGGGCCGGATGTAACTGAGGAGGTGTTGGGAAGACACAACCTTCAGCTCCTCATCCGCTCCCACGAGTGCAAACAGGACGGCTATGAGTTCTGCCACAATCGCAGGGTGAGCACAGGAAGATACAAAGTAAAACACAACAAAAAAAATCTCAAAAGACGAGTGAAAAAAAAAAATAAAGAGTTAACAATGGATGTTTTGTTCTTCACTGTTAACCACAGGTGCTGACCATATTTTCAGCCTCCAATTATTACGAGGTGGGCAGCAACAGAGGAGCATACATAAGGATGGGGCCCGATCTGGTCCCTCACTGCATTCAGTACCAAGCCAGCAGCACATGCAGGGAGCTGACCTTGAGACAAAGGTGCACAGTTACAAAGTTACAGAGAAAATATTGAGAGAGAACAGCAACGTTCAGAAAACTTCTAAGAAAAACATTTCAAAGTGTTCAAATGTATTTTTTTCTTACTATATTTTTGCATTCAAATACCTTTTTCTTGATTTTTTTTTTTAATAAGGAACAGTGTTTTTAATTAAAAATACATATAAGCAACCTTTTTTAAATTGAATAATAAAGACACAAATCAAACTTCCTACAAATCCAAATGTATATATATTTCAAACAGAAAGATAGAGATGAATGAGATGAAAGAGATGAATTTTACCTATATGTTTAAGAAAATTTGTTTACACTGAAAACAGAAATATAAATTGAAGGAATTATTAAATTATTTAAAACAGTCGTTTCAACGCCTAATAAAAAAGGTGTTTCTGTGCCTTTTTAAAAAGACCTTTTCCTTTCAAATTATAAGTTTATAGACTATTTCAAAGTCTGTTTTTTTCTCCCCAGTGTTGGTTGGACAGAGAGATCAGCACTGCGAGCTCTAAGGCAGCAACTCTTTGTTCATAAGTCGGATCTTATTGGAGCCTTTCAGGAGTTTGACCCAAACCACACAGGTACAAGAACAGTGGAACCACTCTTAGAGTCAATGAACATGAAAGCAGATAAAGAAATTAACTTTTCAATGCTTCCTATCCAAGGGCGGATCTCTCTGCACCACTGGGCGACAGCTACAGAGAAGGTACTCAACCTGGGGCTACCTTGGAGGGTGCTGCGCCCTCAGCTTGTCAACAGGGCCCAGTATGGTATGCTTAACTACCAGCAGTGGATAAGGGAGCTCTCCATTACTGAACCCAAACCAGAGGTGTGTTAATCTTTTTTTATCTTGGCATCTTTTACCTTCTGCTCACATCCTTCTTAATATTTCATAATTATTGTCATTTTAAACATAATTTGAACCTCCTGGCAGGTGTCAGATACCAGTATCATGGAGACGATGTACAAACAACACTCTAACCTGGAAACCATCTTCCGGATTATCGACACAGATCATTCAGGTGAATAGAGCACAACTCACCTAAGGGGGACCAAAAGTTCTGCAGTTATTATTTAGATTTGTCTTAACTATAATTAAATACAGAACAGATTGAGTAAATAAATAAATGGCTAATGTTTGATGACCGGTGCCTAGATGCAGAAGGTCTAGGATCCAAATCCCAACCTGGGCTCTTCCAGCTAGTTTTCTATGTTCTCCCATTTTCTCTTGACGTGTCATTGGTTAAGCAGTATATTCAGTCAACAACACTCTACAATCTTAACTAGCTGCAGATAAGATCAGGGGGTTATTCTGATTAAAATAGATTAAATAGATTAAAATAAATCCAAGGCATTCTGCTGCCACAAACATGAAATAAGGAAAATGAAGTTATACTATTTTTATGGATTTTATATACCTCTTTAATTCAATTACAATTCTATTATTTCTTTTTTTTATATATTTTTATTGCACTTTTAAATAATTATTGACAAAAAATATCAATATATATATATATATATGTATTCACCGCATTGGCTTGTGGCACTTTTGAATCTCTTCTCTAGGAGAGGCAATTTTCAAATTGAAATAATAATCTGCAGCTATTCTAAAATACATAGATATATTCTGAAATCGACTATTCTGATTTCTTTGCAATCTACAATTTTCAATATTTATCCATGACTATATCGTTATTAATAATGTAGGATAAAAGTGTTTATTACAAATTTATTTTCAGTTAAAAATGTAATCATACATGTAATAAACCATATTCCAAAATCTTACGTAACTAATAAATTCAAATAGTCATTTATTTATGCATTTAATACTTTTTCCTGTAGAACAAAGAATATTAAACCATTCAATACCTAAATATATGTTTTAACCCCCTACTTTATTCAAAATGTATTCATGTCCTCATTTAAGATTACATACATTTAACTCATCTAAACATTTAAATAAATTTTTCCGACATAATTTTCTTACTTATTTTCAGATCATGGCACTTTTTGCCCTCATTTTAAATGATTTTAATTTAAAGAGTTTTAACTTTTTTAATTCCTCTATTGGCGGGTGACATTTCTTTTAAGCTGCATTTTATTTGAAATAATATGACAGCAGGGCCATAAGAATAAGTAACAATTTATCATTCTTACAGGTCTGATCTCTTTTGAGGAGTTTCGTCAGACCTGGAAACTCCTCAGCTCACATCTTAAAATGGAGATCAGTGATAAGGCCATCGCTGACCTGGCTCAGAGCATGGACTTCAACAAAGACGGCAGCATTGATATCAATGAGTTCATGGAGGCCTTTCGACTAGTCGACCTCTCCACACACGCCTGATGGATAGAAGTAGGAGCAGAAGTAGCATTAGGTTAGTGTTGTGCTTTTTTTTTTTTTTTTAAACACATTCTCAGGATCAGACTAAGCACTTTGTCATCATTGTTCATTTCCTAATGTGCTTGATCACTAAAACTACTGTAAATCTTGTTAGATCTTCTGAACCTGAATCTTCTATATTTTATGGATAACTTTTCTGATTGTTTTATCTATTCCAGGTGTATTTTAGGTGTTTTCTACCCAATATAGTTTAATCATAATTTTCAACTATTTTTTTACTTTGGAACTTTTTGAGTGGTGAAAGAAAATAAAAACATATGGTGTAAAATCCTTTTGTTGCCTAATGAGACTCGGTACTTATCACATTACATGAAATTGCTCCATACAAAACACCTCAAAGTAGCAAATCCTCTGAACGTGTTTATGACTAGTAATCCATAATTCTTTGCTTCTGGGGAATAACAATAGAACAAGGAGACCCTTTTTGCGTTAGACATTCAACTTCAAAATAGGGGATTTGTGTTGAGCTTGAAAAGTTCAGTTTAGGTAACTGGACATGAGGTTGCTTGTTTGTGTTGAGCTGCAGCAGCTGGGAAAGGCTGACAGGAAAATAAACACCTGCATGAAATTGTTTATCTGATTCCCAACTTGTAGATTTAAGGCAGGTTTTCCCTATTTGCAAACCGAGCAGATCATACCCACATATTTAGTGTTTTGTCAAACATTCAAAATACAAATGCATCTGGTACCCTGATCCATTACCTCTTTATTGGAAGATCAAACCCTCTGTCTGTGAAATAAGTAAACATTTTTGAAATACTAGTTATTTTTCTGTAAATATTCATGTATTTTCTCTTTAATCAAAAACAAAGTATAGTAGTTATTTTGTTATCTCTTCTGTGCATCTCACATGTTTACATCTAGTTGTGCTACAGTGCCTTGGGATATGGGTGACCCTATTGCATGAGGGGATATAATCGGTTTCAAGCCAACTAATAAGTTCAACTGCCAATCAGCCTTTTCATTCCAGTAGGGGATGCAAATCCGGGACATAAATCCTATCAACTGAAGCCCTGCTTTGATGAGATGTAGGAAAGCGCTGATCTATAAAAGGTAAACAGGAAACATACCATGCAATTACTACCTCCCCCAAAAAAACTTCTACTCCACCAATAATATAAATTTAATTCAAAGAAAATTTATTAGTCTTTTACCAGCATTAAAAAAAAAGAAATACAAAGATGTATTTACATTGCTTTAAAGCACGGCGCACACTCTCAGCCTGTTTACTTGCCAGACACATTAATAACCCAACATCCATAATCTGATTTTACCTGAGGGTATCCTGCTTTTATTAGACACTGGTAATAATTCTTTAATCTGAGTCCAGACAGCAATGAACATTCAATTATACAAGCTGCAAAACTGTGATAAACATGAGCTGACATCCCTCTATGGTGAAGGTTGGTCTGGGTAAGAAGTTTTTTCCTTTTCAGATTTACTAAAGGTCTGAACACACGTTGCGATTGGAGAGGACCGCTCAGCTTAAGATGCCCCCTCTCATGTGTCCACCGTCGTTTAGTCCATGTTCTATGAGTTTGATGTCTTCCAAATCATCTTTGATGACGCTGATCAGGTGACTTAGACCGTCTTGCTGCTGCTTTAAGTGCTGAAAATGTGAAGCAAAAAACAATGATCAAGTAAAAGATAAAAACACCAAGTTTCTTCCAAATATAGTTTGTGTTCGAGAATCAAAGTAATTCCTGCAAGCTGATGGAATACAAGCAATAGATTTATAAATATAGACAAATACTGAATCCTACTTGTTTGATTTCTCTGAGGAGGTCTTCATCCACATTGTAGCGCTCTTCTGATCTCACGGCCCCAAAGTGGTTCTGCATTCGAATTTGGGACATCAGTTCATTCAATCGACCCTGGATAGAAAGAATTTAAAAAACACCACATTACAAAACAAAAGTAGTCTGTTTGTTTAATGTTTATAACTAATGAAAAGCTAAATCCTTTCAGTGGACAGGCTGATCTAGGTTTGCACAGACTTGCCTTGAACTGTGTGGGTGCATTGAGTTCTGATTGAATGGTGTCCAGCTGCACTCTGAGATGCTCCTCATCCACTTGGATAGCGTAGCCGCTTTTTCTCTGAATCTCCTGCTTTATCAGGACCTTTCAGGAAAACACAGCAATGATTAATATGGCAGGGTTACCGAAAAGGAATTTACAGAGCAGGGAGGGATGCGGACCATGCCAGGACATTCAAACTTGTGGAAACTTGGTGGAAAAAAAAAACAAAAAAACGAAGGGGGGTGCGCAGGGGATCTGAAATCAAAGGTGAATTGAATTCATAAATTACCTGCAGCACCCTGTGAGAGAGATCCATCAGCTTCCTTTTGTACTGAGCAATCTTTGCCACAGTTGTTGCCTGGTTTTTCTGCAGCTCACTGATGTCATTGGAGATTATCTAAAAATAAAAAAAGGTGTAAATAAAAAGAATATTTATGCATGTGTTTTTGTTATTCCTTTATTAATTTTACATTTATTTTTTAGATAATATATATACCCTTCTAGTCTAAGGAAACATTTTCTGAAATACCTTCCCTCCCTGCAGATTGCTCTGGTATTTCTAATAATTCCAGAAGAAAACAAGTTGTTGGCAGTGAGCACTGACTGGACATCTGTGCACCGTCCTTGACACCTACAAATATCTGCCCCAGAATTCCTTTTCTAACATCCAAATGGCCCTTTGTCAGTTTCTATCCTATTTACACATAACATAGGCTAAATCTAGTAACAACAGTAGATATTTTTACTCACATCCACTCTGGTTTGGTGTTGTTTGGTCATCTGCTCCTGGATCTGTAGTCTGCGGAGCAGCTCCTTAAAACCGACCATGGGCACAGGAATTAACCTGGAGGAAAACCAGAGAAATGAGCCCTACATGGGAATGTATTCAACATCTTTAATGGATTTCTGTTAACTGATTAGAAGTTTTAATTAGGGGTAGTGAAAGCTAAATTAGACATCAGATATGTTGAAAATGGTTCAAGGGCAGACTCTAGTTAGGTATGAGCCGCTTGGATGGAAGGAAGAAAAGAAAAACATTTCCATCTTACTTCTCTGGGTCAGGGTTGTCCACCTTTGCTTGTTCCCAAATGATGGGATCCACTCCTGGAGATGCGAGTGCAGAGATCACAATTTTAGCTGATTTTAACAAGTAAACAACATTTCTATACTGGGGAACATATCTACCTGCAGGAGCGTTTTGCAGCAGCTGCTTCAGCTGTGCTGGGGTCAGCTCTGTTCGCGTGACTGACATGACCACTCCAATCTGGCCGAGCTGAGCCTTAATGTTGGCCTGCTCCAGAAACCCAAAGAGGGTGGAAGCTGGGATCCTCTTGGAGGTACCGTTGGGGGAACGTTCCACTAGATAAATGATCACCTCTGTCCTGGATGTGAGAGGACGGAAGAAGACGTTGATTAGTCATCATGAGTAATCAAACCATCAGCTTGGTAAGAATTAGAAACCTCATGGAAACGTACTGATCGTTGGGCAGAGCTTTAACACCCTCCACGTTGACGGTGAGAGTTTGGTTGCTTCCTAGAACCTTGTGCAGCGACTCGACCAGCTGCTGCTGCTGAGCACGTACATCAGGTTCCTTTTTATTCAGAATCAACACGACTAACCCATCTTCATCCTTGCTTACTGGAACACAGCTATAGCCAACTGCCTGCAAAGAGATGAAGCACATTTTTTCAAAGCAGAAATACAGATGATTTAATGGAAGATCAGCAGGATTGGTGGACACATTGGAGTGATGGAAAAAAAAAATTACCTTAGACTCATAAATGACAATATAAACACATTAATAGAGACAAAAGAAAGCAACAAATAACTTGGATGGAGGCAGGGATCAATGGTTGGATGGCTGAACCATTAAGGGTGTGGAATAGAAAGATGGGATATGAGTGGATGGACAATTAACACAATAAAAAGGAGGAAACAGCCTGAAAGTTCAAGTATTTTCTCAGAGCAAATACTTTAAATTATCCAAACTGCATATAATTATTTAATTTTGTTAAAATGAAAGAGTGCCAACTGTATGAACCAACTATCCCCATTTTTACCTTGAACCTGCAGAACGGGTTCTCCTGAGTGAACTCCACTGACGGGTTGTTATTAGCATAGTAGCCCTTCCCTGTTCCCCAGTAGGCCTGCAGCTGGTTCCACTTTGCGAGTATGGAGTCCCGTTCATCTCCTAACAGGGTGGGGGCCGACAGAGCGGTGACCTGCTGGTAAAGCTGGGTGGGCTGTGCTTGACCCAGCTGCTGGGCTGGCTGGCCAAACAAGCCTCCTGCTCACAGATAATAAAAATGAATATTTTAGACAAAAAGGGAGTTAAACAGATAGTCATGGTAAGATATGTGTGCTTACCAAACGTATGTTCATTCAGAGTTAAAGAAATAACAAAAAATGAAGTTTCTATGCTTGTTATTACAGAAGATAGCCCTTTTTTCTGAAATATTTCACATAATCAAATAAAAAAGCTCAACATTTACTGACCTTGTGGCTGTGCGGTTGACTGGATATTAAAACCTCCAAACCCGAGGCCAGTCGTTCCTAATCCAGTTCCAAAGCCTGTTGCTCCAGTGGTGGTACCAGTTCCAAGCCCAGATGGAAACCCAAAAGCTTTGTTCTGTGTGTTTCCAAACAGACCTCCTAGGAAAGAATATTAGGATAATATGATATGCAGGAAAACCAGCTATTAAATCTACAATATCTAGAAAATATTAATCCAACTTTAGCAGAAGAATGGCTGCTTAAGCTAAAGGTTCAGTCCCTTGATCAGGGGGAAAGAGTGACATCTTGTGGCGGGATAGTGCAATACAGCATCAGTTATTTGTAATCTAAATAAAGGGGATAGGGCTGATCAATACTGGAGAACAAGACTGTTATTATTTCCCAAGAGAACATATAAAGAGGTTTTACTGCAACCTGTAGTGACCACCCTTCATTATGGCATTGCAGAACACTTTATAGTAAACAGCTATACTGAATGACACAATTTAAAAGAATCAATAATTCACATTTTGCTCAGATCTCTGTCACCGACCTGTTGTGTTGGAGGAAGCAAAGTTGAAAGTGGATCCTGGTGCAGTAGCAGTCGTTGTAGTGGTCCCAAATCCTCCAAATGCCCCTGAAAATCAATGTGAATGATGGCAAGTTTAATGACAGGAAGGTGATGCAACAAAAGTTAGGATGACAACAACACTTTCATCAAGTGCTTGATGAAACATGGCAAAGGTTTAAATAATCAGAGGGGGTTCGACAAATGAATCCCTCAGGTTTTGTCTATAGAACATTCCACATGGGCATAGCAGAGATGGGTGAATAACTCAACACATTTCATGCAAATGCTATGACTTAAGCCAGGCATACACTGTGTGATTTTTTCAATCGTTGCACACAGCTGCAGTTCACACTGTACAACGAAACCGCAGGGTTACGTCATACAGTGTGAGTTCACAGCTCACTATGTCTGTGCAGCACGATGCTCTGATGCGATCTACCTGCTCGCACTGTGCGCCTAAAAACCCCGTCGGCTGAGCTCCGCAGTGAGATGAAGCTACTCTGACTCGTCTATCTGGAAGCCAAATGAGTAGAAGAGGAATATGAGGTTCACTAGAGTGAACCCCGCTACCTTGGTAATTTATGCAATTTTGTGCTAAAAGCCCTAAAAAGAAAAGGCGACAACATATTTGGACAAAGACATGGCTGCGTAAACGTAGCTACTACGGTCTGTCAGTTTTACTGAAAGAACTCCATTTCACCCGGACCCCCGCCATGCTTCTGTGTTTACATCTGAGAGAAAGAATAAAAAGAAGAATCCTTGTTTGCGCATCCTCACTGAGCGATTTGCCCATGACGGTCACGGACGCACAACCAGGCTAAAAGTCTGGCCCGATCGGCTAATTCTAGCACAACTGAAAAGACCCAAAAAACTGTGTAAGCCTGGCTTTACAATCACAAAGTAAGATGGAGAAAAAAAAAAAAAAAAAAAAAAAAAAAAAAAAAAAAAAAAAAAAAAAAAATACTGCAACACATTGGGGCGGAAAAAAACGAAACAATAATGCATGATTTACAGGCACAACATAAACAGAATCCCAAAGACCCTCTACCTGTACTAGCCAGGCTATTACCAAAATTGAAAATAGAGCCAGTTGTGGTTGCCGTACCAAAGCAACCTACACTGAGGCTGATTGCTGCTGGGTTCGCATTTAAACCAAACCCCCCAAAACTAAACCCACCAGCTGTAGTGCTTCCAGCTCCAAGCCCCCCAAATCCTGCAGCCAAAGCAGGCAGGCAGCAAAGGAAAAAAAATAGGAGAGTACATGGTGGAGATAAATGACAATACCAGAGCTGGAAATTACTTTTATTATCAGCATCTTTCATGTTCTTAAAGGAGAAGGATCAGAACAAGCTACATGTTTCATGCTTTATCAAGAACATTCATCTTACCAGTGTTGGTGGAGCTAAAACCAAACCCTGGGGCCGCTGCAGCCGTGGTTGTAGCTGTGCCAAAAGCAGGAGCTGTCAGAGCTGTGAAGTTAGAACAGATTGTTGCTTAAAATGTTACCCAGACGTACAGATAAGCATCAATATACATCACGGTTCAACGGGAGCAGCAGTCTCAGTGAAACAAGTAGTTGGCCTGAGTGAAGAGAAATAATTTACAGTGCTTTGCAAAAGTATTCATATCACTGGAATTTCATGTTTTCAGGTTAGAAGCACAAGATGCAATATGTTTTATTGAGATTATGTTATACTGAGCATTTATTCCCAAAGTTGGGGTCCTTGATCAATTAAGATCCACTACAAAAATTAAACTACCGTATTTTCACGACTATAAGGCGCACTTAAACGTCTTTTTATTCCCTCAAAATGTGCGGTGCGCCCT